GACAAAAATTATACAAAAAAAAAAATTTAATTTTGAAACCGAATAAAGTGCTGTCTGTTCACTTTTTCCGTTAATTTGTACGTAAAATTTGTTACGGAAACCGCTAATTTTAGATAGAAAGTGCTGTCTCTTTGCTGCCTAACTTTCTCCTTTAATTTGTACAAAAATAGAAGCTAAGGAAACAGTACACTTTTACGGAAGAATTGAGGGCTTGAAGTCAGAACGGCGTATGTACACTTTTCAACATTTTTAGAAAAAGTGATTTGAAATCTTCAATCATACATCAAAAATCTAATTCGTCTCGGAATTTCATGTTACATAATAATTTTATGTCAAAAAACATGAAATTTCGTGACGAATTAGATTTTTGATGTATGACTGAAGATTTCAAATTCCTTTTTTCAAAATATATTATAAAAGTGAACTATTTCAAAATGTTGAAAAGTGTATATACGCCGTTTTGGCTCCAATCCCTCGCAATAATGTAAAAAGACATGCCGGACTTTTTCCGTTGAATCTAAGGAAATTTTTTTGACAATGTACAAGAGAAAAAAATGATGTTAAAAAAATGTTACTTTAAAAAAGTGCTGTAACTTTACGTAGCTTTTTTAGAAAATTCAGTGTTTAGTTGGGAATCAAACTTTGCAAGTTTTAAATGATAAAACTTACTTTAAAAATCAAAACATTTTACACGCAGACAATTGAGAACCACTTTGCTTGAAAAATATTAATTTTCAAGATCTTTTGATATAACATGCATACATAAAAACATTGCATTTTAAAAACTTGTTAACTTTTATTCTTATTATTTTATACCAGATTTATACTTTACCTCAGTTAACGGACCGAAGAATACGTATGTTCATGTAAGGCAAAAGGATGGACATATCTAACTATTGTATAACAGCTCACGTCCTGCTTAAATCTAACAAAATTGCATCATTTAACATTTACTATATAAAAATCAAATAAAAACTCTATAAATCAAATAAAAATCTATTTGGGAATTGCTTTTTCCCTAAAATAGGATTAATAGATGTCCGTTTTTACTGAGGAAAGCGCAATGAAAATCTTTAGTTTAATAGGTTGGGCACTGTGCTCTCCAATGCAAAATTAGGTATCTGAAAGCCCTACCCTGAAAATAAATATATATTTTAATTCTGATTTGTTTATAAAAATATTACACAATAAAAAGGTAGATATATAGGTGTTTCAAATATCCTGACTTAAAGGGTTTAGAACATTCTCTTCCTTATGATAGAGAATTAAACTCTTTAAAGCAGAATATTATATTATTAGCAAATTACACCACATGTGATCATTTTTGGTATAACCCTTTACTACATAAGTATAGTGTACTAATATAAAGGGGTAGTATATAAGAATATATCTAACATTGATAATTAAATTACTCTAATAATCAGATTGAAATAGTAATTGGACGTAACGAGGAGAGTTTAAAGATTTTGAAGCATTAATTTAGGGTAATGAAGAGCAAAATGAGACATTTAAGCACTAGTTTATCTAATATGGCTCATGTAACAAGTTTTGAAAAGAGAAATTTTTTTTTTTAAGTCTTCTTATATCCTACTATATTTTAAAATATGAGTTTCAAAAAGTTGTTTTTTTAAATTATTTTTTAGAATCAATTTAAGGTAAACAAAGCAGATTTTATAAAGGATTGGGAAGTTCAATTGTTTTTATAATAAAGTATATTTTACAACTCTATTGCCTTTATATAAATACACTGCCACTAGTTATAAAAATCACGACTGCAACTTATGTGTGGTGTGATGTGACTGCAACTTATAATAGGTATGATGTGGTAACATTGAAATTACTATTCCATCTTTTTAGTAAAACCAAATAAATTTATGTTCTTTTTATGAGCTTTGTGTCCATTTAAAATTAAAAGAATCTTCTGTAGCTCTTGTATGCTTCCTTCTTCTGTAGCTCTTGTGTGCTTTGCATAATATTTTTTAAACTCTATGAAAAGATTAGTATATTATGTATATTATTAATATACAGTTATTTTTGTTTGTAGTTTACTACAATAACCTGGTTTAATACTAAAAGTTAATACAAAATAAAACTATACATTTTACAGGAATAAACACAACAAATTGCTTTTTTTAATGTCTATAGATTTACAAATCTACTCACTTTATATAGTATTTGCATTACTAATTTGTTTAAAATAAAAATAAATACAACAAATAAACCATAAAATAAAAATAAATGCAACAAACAAACCTCTTAGATAAAATTTAAATATTTTATCGGTAAATATATGTAAACAATATATTAAACAGTTTAATATGTTGAATAACAATTTAGATAATATATATAACTACAATATATATTTTTTTCTATTTAAACAAAAAATACTATATATTTATAAGAAATTAACATACTAGATATTTGGCAAAACAAATAAAAATAAAATGTCTTATTTTGCCCCGCAACAAGTCGGCAAGTCCCTTAATTTTTAGACAATCTTATTAACAAAAAATTTTGGTTGTATGAAAATGATAAAATAATGTTTAATGTAGACGATATTTTGTCTGACTTTTTTTTCCCGTGAACTTTGGAATGTCAGACGAGAAAACTTTGGTTAAAATATCATGCAAAAAATCTAATAAACATATTTAATGGGGTACTAAACTGCTTTTGTAAAAAAATGTATGTGTAAAAAGAAATTTAACTTATTTCCTACACTAAAACATCTTTTTTTTTTTTGCTATAACGCAACTGTAAAAAACTTAATTTAAAAAATTTAAATCTTTTAAAAAAGCTAGAAAAAAATCAATAAAAACCCCCTAACACTACTCAATACTCTATTATTTTTTATAACATTAAAGTAAAGCCGCAGGAACATATTTGTTCCGGTAGATTGTAAAATGCATTAACGCAAAAACCAAAGTTTTCTCGTCTGACTTCCCAAAGTTCACGGAAAAAAAAATTCAGACGAAATATCGTCTATGTTTAATGATGAAAATAACACCCAAACTTTAAATATAAAGTTATTTTACACTCCGCGAGATCAAAAAAGCTAAAAAAAATTATAATAACTAAGCTTGCAAAATTCGTAATTTACATATACCCAAGGTAGGAAATGACTGTCATTCTCTTAAGTTTTTTTTATTTCAAAGTAACTCGAGATATTATTGTAAACACTAATTGATTTTAGAACAAAAGTACACTTTTGAAAATCTTTAAAAAAATATATTTTGGGACTAGCATCATGATTAACGCAATCTATCTCATTTTGCCCCCTGAATTTATCCTCTGTCTTTCTCGTCTAAACCTCAAGCATAATGTAATTGTAATGTAAAAAAACAAAAACTGTAATGTAGCAGAGTATTTTTTTTTTTACATTACAAGAAAGCTGCTAAAAGTAGGATTCATTCAGGGTTTATACACCTTCATTTTTTGGTAACTAGTTTTTCATTTTTTTGGAAAAACAAAAGATTTCAATAGCGTACGTAAAAAAACGAGTTAAAGAATATCTACTTGTAAAACAGTTTAATATAGAATGTTGATATTTTCATGCAATGTTTAGCAAATCATCAGTGGAAATTAAACCACTTCTCAAAATGCAACTAAGCTTTTTATTGAATCCAGTAACTATACTTATGTACAAGTTCATTATATTTAGTCAACATTAATTATATTTAGTCAACACCCGGTGAGAAATCGGCTAGCGAATAGCTAGCTATAATCGTAATGATAAGACAATGATTTGGCCTCGAGGATTGCTAACTTTTTTAAGTTAGCGAAAAGCTATCGATATTTGTAAAGATAAAGACAGCGATTTGGCTACGAGGACAGCTAGCTTAAAGACCTATTGGCTATTGTAGTTAGCGTCATATTGTAATAAAATCTCTTTCAAAAAAATTTTGATATGGAGCTATCAAATAGCTATAGATTTGTAGATATTTTGTAGCTAGCTACAAAGCTACGATATGTAGCAAGCGACACATTGCTACAAAATCGCAATGTTTAAAGTTATCGCAATGCTTAAAAATATTCTCATAATTACCATAGACACAACAAAAAAATCATATTTTTAAAGATGTTAAAGATATTAAAAAAAGATAAAATAAGAAAAAATTGCTATAAAGCTAGCTAGTCACTAGCTCATTTTCCACCGGGCAGTGGGACTATTATTCAACAGTGTTAACTGTTGCAGAATACAATATGTATTCTTCAATAGTCAAACACTTGTTTTAATATTGACAAACTTGATCAACAGCTGACATATTGAATTTTACCACTTAATCTGATTACATTAGATTGATAATTGGAAATTAAAAAAAAAAATTATCTGATTTATTTTTTGAAAAACTGTTGTTTATTCATTTGTATATTTTATATATCCATATCATAAAACAACTTTTTTACTTAAAAACTATGGTATTTTTTGGTGATCTTCTAAAGAACCCATCCGTTTTTCTATGGGAATGGGATAAACAATCACGTGAGCATGCGTAGTATAAGTTTTAATTTGTTCAAAGCATAACTACTCATGAGTAGTTTTGCTTGGAACAGATTAAAACTTGTACTACGCATGCTCAAGTGATTATTTTTTCTTTCTTTTTCTGTTTCCTTAAAAAAATGGATAATTAGAAACTAACCTATACTGTATTTGTTACAGTAATTGGTCAATCCTTGTCATTTCACTTAAAAAACACTTAAAAGTTGTAAATCAAATATGGATTCACAAGTAGTTTTCTCAGCTGCCTCAACTTAGTGATTTTTGAAAAACCTTTTAGTTAAAAATTAGAAACAGTTTTTTAACTAAAATAATTAATCCAGTTTAAACTTTGCACTACGTTGCTTTTTAAGCTGTTGACGTTGTAACAATTTTAATTGTATCTTTAAAGAATCAGTATTCCATTGAATGACGCTTTATGTGTGTGTTAAGTGTTTAAAATCTGATGCAAGTGATTACATAAGGTTTTAAACAATTGTTGTTTAAAATCTGATGCAACTGTTTGCATCAGATTTTAAACAATTGTTTAAAATCTGATGCAACTTTAATTATTATTTAATATAAAAAGACTCCTTTAGATTTTAGTATATACGCAAATCTGTTAAAATAAATTCGATTATTGCATTTACTTGGCAATCGTTTTAGTTGTATCTATACAATTTATATTTAAATAAACAAATTGCACGAGTTGAAACGTTTTATCTTTTGAGTATAAATTTTACCGGATACATTTTAGATACATTAAAATTTTTATTTGTATGTGACTAACCCACGCTAATTGAGGTAGTTCTACGATACAGCAGCTGATAAAACATTATTTATTGGGTTCGTAAAAGTTTTTGCTTTTCTTTTAAAAAATTGTTTTTTAAGTTTTGAACATGTTTTTCACACTGAAAAAATGTTGGAAAAAAATGCTTTCAAGAGATCTTATAAAATTAACATTACGTGAAACGTTACGTGGAACTAAAAACTGTTTGTCTGAAAAATCATCGACTTCAAGAGATTTTTTAACAGAAAAGTTAACTCATGATAATTTGGAGAGTTTGATAGTTAAAGAATCCATTGACGCCATCGTAATTCCAAAGTATTGCAGTCCATCTTTATGCAAAGTGTTAAGCTCGTATATGTTAAACTCAAAAATAGAGAGATATGATCATGAAATCTATAATACAGATACGCGCAAAATAGAAACAGTATATGCAGGTGTAGATCGAGTTGGGCTTCCCTTTAACAAAGTGTTTTCGGAGACGGACAACCTAAAGAAAATCAGAATCAGAGATGACTATTACAAACTTGCCAAAAAACTTATGAAAAACTTTCGTGAAGTTTGTGGTGATTTTATTTCACCAATTGATCGTCTCAGACTCGAATTAGAAGATGCATTTTCTGAAGGAGCTAGAGTCGGAAGATTTGAAGGTAGACAAATGTTGTGCGGAATTGGAAGAGTTTCCGACCCTGCTTTATCTTTAGGTGGTGAACAGCCTCATTTTGACATGTTACCTGAATATATTTACCCATTAGAGAAACAGTTTGCCGCAAACATTTATTTAAAAGTTCCAAAACAAGGGGGGATGCTTAAAGTAAGGTTTTTTGTTTTACTTTTTCTTTTCTCTTTTTTTTTACTTTTCATAAAATTCAAATTTGTTAGGCCTAAAGTAATAAATTATATTTTTATAAGAAAGTTTACAAAATTTAAAAAATATAAAATATTTAGAATATTTCGGTTAACTAAACCTAATTAAGTAATCTAAAAATTTTGAATTTGTATTTAAAGTTTAAATACGATCAGCTAAATCAAAAATTAATTTGGGATCGTCTAGCTTTTAAAAAAGATGTAGCGGCGATTTTCATTATACCTTAATTAGCAATTTTGGTTTTTTATCTAACTTAAGGAAAACTTTTGATCTTTTTTTGTTTTGTTTATTAGTGAAATTTAACGTTGCGTAATTTATGGACGATCCCTTTGTAATAAAGATATTTTAAAAAACCTTCAAGAAAAACACTTTTAAAACAAGAAAAACACTTTTAAAAACAAGAATTATAGGCAGTTTTATTAATTCAAAATTCTCTTATGCATGCACCTAATATTATTATTTACCATCTAATAATATCACTACCATGGCAAATATTAGGAGGTATATAAAACTTTATTAATAAATCAGTGTAAAGTTGTAGTGTTTTTATTGAACCATAGTTAAAACCTATTATCACGCAATAATAGTTATATTACCTAACAGTTATACATTTAAAAAATAAAAGTAAAACATTTAAAAAAGTAAAACATTTAAAAAATAAAAATAAAAATAAAACCTATTATCACGCAATAATAGTTATATTAACTAACAGTTATACAAGCAAAAATAAAACAGGCTATGACAAAATTCAGTATTCGTCTTTAATAAGGACTAGATGTTCAAGAAATCTTCTTTAGGTTTCTTTTAACCAAAGACTTTAGTCTTAAAATGTTAATTAACTACTGTATCGTTAATAAAAGCAGTTATATCCATGACTGTTATGTTTAAAAAATAAAAAAAATAAAAAAAACGTTCTGCAGCCGTTTTTCAAAATGGCTTTAATTACTTAAAAAATTATCAAATAAATATTTTCGAAGAATTATGAAAAAATTTATAAAAAATTTAGTTTCAAAAAATGTTTTACAAAGAGTTTTTTCATTTTTTTATATGCCTTTTTGTGGAAATACCTAATAAGCATCTTTTGATCAAAAGGCGGCAGCAGATTTCATAAAAGTAAAAAAAAACTGAAAAGTTTGTAAAAAAAGAAATGTACTCTTCCATTACTGCGGTGTTCATTTTTAAAGACATTATCTATACATAATTTCAAGGTTTATTAATAAGCATATACAAAAGCATATACATTTGTCAATAATTGTCACATGTAAGTAAATTCACATGACTGTGAATTTACTTACATGCGAAAATTATTTGTCACAAATAATTGTCAGATGTAAGTAAATTCACATGACAGTGAACTTATTTACATGTGACAATTAACTGAATTTATTTACATGTGACAGTTATTTATTTAAATCTGTCAATTAAAATTCACAGTTATGTGGCCATTTCTATTTATGAACGCAACATACCTGTTGCGTTCATAAATAGTACTTTAACTGTGTTTAATAAAACACGGAAATATAAAATGATTAAAAATATAATTAATAATTGAGTTGGTGTAGAGTGTGGTTAGTTAAACAATTTTTACTTTTTATTTTATGTACTTTAATGGCATAAGTAAGAGGAGAGATATAAAAACTAAATATTATGAAAGTGTCATAAAATATAAAAATATTATTTCATACATGAACTTTGAAGCCCGATTTAAAAATTACTTGTTTAAAAAAATTTATACATAATGTACCAGAAAATTATTACTTATCAAATTTGTTTCTTTGCGTTCGAGAATTCAGTTTTATTTAATTTTTTCAAAATTATTCAACTTACCCTTACTAGACAAGGTGACACATTAGTTAGGTTTTAAAGAGAACAGTCTTAGAAAAAAATGGCTAATTATTAAAGTAAGTCCGATAAACTGATAAAATATCAACACTTAAATGATGGCAACAATTTATTTTTTTACTGTTTCCTTCCAAAATACAAAAAGTGTCCGTGCATCTAAGTTGACTGCTGCCCAACAACATTTTTGCTCATTGTGTTACCATTCCCTAATTTTCATCCTTTAGATATTATGTAATGCAATGCATAGTTTTCGAAATATTTTAATTGCTCCTATGGCTCAACTAGTCCCGCTCTACCTTACCGGTTTATGACAAATATTTTAATGAATCTAAATATACTTCATGAATCTAAATATACTTATGGTTCATGTATAAAAAATTTACTTGCTAATGCTTCAATAAACAAAGAATCTGCTTCATAAAACTGCATAAGAAGTTAAAATTAAAAAAAAGCTATTAAGCACAAAAACAGCCATTTAATAGTTGAGTCAATCTTGTTTCTATGGAAACTATTGATGTGTTTCTATAAAAACTTACTACTGATATTTCGATTAAATTGTGTATGTATCAACGTATTAAAGACGAATTTTCTATTATTATAATTTCTAAAAATTTATTGCTTAACTTTTAGCTAGCAAGGTTAATACAAAATATGTTAATAAATTTTCAGAACCAGTTTTAACAACAGTAAGAAGCTTTATAGAGCAGCAAGGAGCTTTTTGCATTTATGTACTTACAGGAATTATGGCGCTAGTTTTTATTAAGGGGAAGTAAGAAAACTACGCTTTCATTATGCAAGATATTTTTGAAAAAAAAATTTCTTGCATAATGAAAGACCTATATAAAAAAAAGTTACGAAAAACTTTTTATAGCTGGGAGAAAAAAATGCGGAAGAAAGCGGGCAAAGGCACCACGTTTCTCCGTCACCGCAAACACTAGATGTTTTTCGATAAATTTTTTTTTTAATAATATCCTACTTAATTGGACACTGCAGACCTTAATACTTAGTGAATACTTTTGCATTATCATGTATAATTTTGTAGAGTACATTAATTTTTCACAACTATAATTTTTATTTATATTTACGTTTTAAATGGGTATCGGCAATAAGGCTAAATATTGTCTTTTTCTTGCCAATAATTTTGCTGCAGCCAATAATTTTGGTATTATGTATTTGCATTTATTTTTAAGTGGTAAAATAAACTAAGCTAAACAGTATGTAATGATAATGATAATAATAAAATTAAAAATAATATCAACAAAGGTTTTGTAGAATAATTTACTAAAAATTACTTTTTAGATATGGGGTAGAAAAACATATTCAAGAGAAAAAATAATGGAATTGTCTTTGGACAAAAATATTGTCAAAGATGAAGAAGAGCCTGTTGAAATTTCACCACAAGAGGGAGACTTAATAATTTTTAATACTCGCAGACCCCACGCTGTAACTCGATTCGACAATGACTTTCGCATATCGCTACAAACATTTATTGGCTATAAAACTGGAGAGCCACTTTTTTTGTGGAATTAATTCTGTATTTAATATAAATTTTATACATTTTTTTTTATATGATAGCATTTCATTATTTTTTACGCGCATCAAAGAGTATATTTATCGACTGAAATCTTTAAGGATAGACGTAATGAGTGTTTTTCAGGTATAGTTTACATATTTTTGAGGATAGAAAAGAAATGAGAAGTAAAGGGTGCAAATGTCAACCGAGGAATTTTTTAAATTTAAATTTGATTATATTAATTTTTAAAAAACTTTGAATTTATGATGAAAAATTATAAAAAGAATGTTTGTATAGCATAAACCAAATAATAAAATAAAATATTATGCAGTGCTTTCAAAAAAAATAGACGCAGTATAATTTTACTGCTTAAAGCATAATTAAACCACCATAAAATAAAAACTAAAAATGAACAAATATTGAACAATATTGAACAAATTTTATTTCATTTGCGAGAAAAATCTTAATTAAACAAATCTTGCATATTGGATGGCATACTAAAACATAATATTGTGTATAAAAACGTTATCAAACATAAAAACAAAAAATATCAATTAAAAACTGCAATATATAAAAAATTAAAGCTACAAAAATAACATCTAAGTATTTAAAATATTTCCCACGAGCTTTTTTTCAAACAGCACATATTTTTTGCATTGGTTTTCAAGATTGTTACAGATTTTGTTTGGAACTCTTCTCCAAATGGTATCTAATTCGTGCTTTAGGCTGTTTATGGATCGTGTTTGCACCTTACTAGTTCTTTGTCCATCCAAGCCCAAATCGATTCGATTGGATTCAAATCTGACGATCAAGCTGGCCAGGGCCATTTACTTTATTTTCTACCACCCATGTTTATACTGTACGAGCTGTGTGGACAGGCGCCAAATCTTGTTAAAATTGCCACCATTCATTTTGATCAATCAGCATATCCACTGATGGAATCAAGCAGTTCTCTAGCGTTTCTATATATGTATGTAAATTGATTCGACCTGTATAAATGTTATACACTCCTACTCCGTTAAAATTAAAGCAGGCCCAAATACCAACAGTGCCGTCGCTTCTTTGCAACCTCGGTACAACAAAGCGATTACTGTACTTTTCCGATTTAAATCTTTTAACAATAACTTTGCTTTTTTTACTAAAAATTGCTTGCTTCCACTTCTCCGAAGACCATTTAATTCTCTCCTTACACCACCTAAATCTTGTGAATCGATCTCTGGCCGTCAACATAAGTTTTCACTTCTTTTAATTTTTAATAAAAACTTTTAATTTTCTTGCTATTTCTCTGCTTTTCGACACATTTCTATGTATATTTACTTTTAGATCGTATCAAATTATTTAAAAATGCTTTAAATGTGAATAAACTGGTCATCATAAGTAATTTACCCAACATTTATGGGAAATTGTCAAACTAACATATAAATTAAAAAAGTAATTGTAAATAACAGTTGGGTTGACAAGAAAGTAGAACGGAAGTCAATTAAAAACAATTCCAGCAAACATTCAGTCTTAAAAAAACCTTTTTTAAGCTTATAAAAAACGTCTAATGCGTTTAAAAGACGTAATAAAAACGTCTCTTTTGTTTGCTGGATTGGGCACCCATTTTTTTAAAAATCTTTTCCGGTTTGTTTTTTGTATTCTTTTGAAAAAAGTATATTATTAAAAAAAAGAAGGGAAAGTAGAGTAATGGCGAACGAAGGGTAACTCCAAACATGGTCAAAACAGCATGATAGAAAAAGATAGTTAACAGTTTCATTTTTCCTGCAGAGAGGGGTCCTATACTCAGTTTTAGACGTCCAGAAGTGTAGTGAAATTGCGCACGTTGTTCCCAATAAATTGTTTAAATTGTTATAAATGTTAAAAAATATATAAATGTTAAAAAATAAATTGCTCGTTGTTCCCAATAAATCCTAACTTTTTCTGATAATTTCATGTAATTTTTTGTTTGAGAAACATTCCTGTTGTAGCTACTATGAATATATAGCCGCTCCTTTTGTTGCTGTTGTTGCGTAGTACCATAATCAAGGAGTTTTTAACACGTATTATATTTGGGTATGTTAATACAACCTCAATATCTATAACATATAACATGTTATATGTTATAAATAAAATATATTTATAACATATAACATGTTAACATGTTATATGTTATAAATATTGAGGTTGTATTAACATACCCAAATATAATACGTGTTAAAAACTCCTTGATTATGGTACTATGCAAAAACAGCAACAAAAGGAGCGGTTATATATTCATAGTAGCTACAACAGGAATGTTTCTCAAACAAAAAATTACATGAAATTATCAGAAAAAGTTAGGATTATATATTATAGGATATATATTATATAGGATTATATATTATAGGATATATATTATATATAAAACATTTAACATAAAACAAAGCATATAACTTAAAACAATCTCAGCTTCTACGAAATGAAATTTTAAGGGTTTGTTCATCTGTATATAAGTTAGTATGTGAACCAGAATCTATTTAATTCTTCGAGTATTTTAGGAATTATGGGATGGTTTTTGTTGAATTTGACCCCATTTTTAATTTCCCCGATTTCATAGAGCTGCCATTAAGGATCTAAACATAATTATAAGTTTTTATTAGTTCACATACTAATTCTATGTATATCCTGCATGCAAACAAAACATCATACAAAATAATTAATTAAGGATAATTCCATATTATGCTATTATTGATAAACTACATTCTGAACTAGAAAGGAAAAAATTGTGCTATGATGAAGCCAATAAAAAATTTAACTTTTTGTTTCAAATAATTAAACAATCACCATCAGAAGTTTACAAAAAAGCAGGTAGGTACTTCAAAATATATATAAAAATAATCTTTCGACTTTTGCTAATGAGTATATACAATTCAAAAGTTATTGGATGAGTTTAACTGAAAACTATAATTGATATTTGTAAAATGATCAGAACGGATAAACTTCAAGAACTATATAACTATCCCTAATGCCATATCTAATATAAGTAGATATAGCATTAAGGATATATCTATGCTGCCCAAAGTCAAAGTTTTTTTAAGTTTTTTTATTCATTTTTTCACGAGTGCGTACAAAAATCATGAAAAATACTGTAAATATAATTCTTTAAAAAAGACCAATAAGCTTCTAAGTGTTTAAAGGATTTGTGTTAAAATACATCTGGCCAATGCTGATGTGTTTTTTGGGGTATACATATAAATATATTTTATTTTTATTTTAGATGCCACAAAATTTTAATAAAAAAAAAAACAGAAGTAAAATATAGAATAGAAGATTTACAAAATACCCAAAAAGAAATTAAAAAAAAAAAAATTCATTATCAGGTCAGGCACCTAATGATTCTTTTTTTTTTCTTTTCCCAAAACCACTTTATTTGACTACCTCAATAAAGAAGTCATAATACAACCGAAATGCAGAAGAAAATGTATACTTTCAGCTGCACAAGAAAAAGAGTTAAAAGATTATATTGTCAAATGTTTTTTACAGTTTTTTTATGGTTGACAATTGAAATGGTACAAAAAATTGCTTTTCAATTTGTTAAGTAAAATAAGTTGAAGCATAAATAAGATAATCCCATCTGGCATGTAGCGACTAGTATTATTTTTTCATAAAAAGGCATTCTAATATTTCATTGAGAAAACCTGAGCTTACTTCATTAAACAAAATAAATGCATTTAATGAAACAGAAGTAAAATTGTATAATGTCAATGAGACGGGTATTTCTAATGTTCAACGAAATTCCGAAATCATAGCCCCGAAGGGCCAGAAACAATTTGAGATTGCAACCAGTAGTGAAAGGGGTTCAACAACTACAGTTGAACCCCTTTCACCACTGAATTACTCTATACGAAGTTGTTGAACTGTTTACAAAAACATTTATTCGTCTCAGCAATATTAAAATGTAGCCAATGGATATAAAGCAGCTGATATTTATCCGTCAGATCCCACAATATTCAATGAACTTTTTCCAATTAATACAGTTGCGCCTGAATTGTCATTACTTGATAATATCAAGAAACATGCAATTAATCAATCAGATATTGTTACTAAAGCCTTTCGGCCACAAAATAAAACATTGTTTAATTAGCCAAGAAAAGTATAAGGATCCTCCCACAGAAAGCTGGATTATATGCCATAAATGTCAGTCCTGTTGCACAAAACTGCACAATTGGTGAAATTATGTACCGGGGTTTTATTTGCAATTTTTGTTTGTATTAATTTTTCAAAATTTTAATATTTAAAATTATAAATTAATTTTAAAAGAGTGTTGTATTAAGTTGCAATGAAAAGTTTTATGATCTGCCCATGGAAGACGGGATTATGCGTTACAATTGTAAGGACTGGTGGAGGTGAGCATATCCTAAGGTTTTGTCTGTGATTTTTGCACTTAATTATTACAATTAGCATTTTGTTTGCTTTTGGACAACGGTGTTTGTGATTACCCCAAGTTATTTTCGGAATTACCCCACGTACGTAGGGTAATTCTAAACACCAATGGTTTTATTTTTGTTAAAGTTTTTTCTTTTTTATTAAAAAAGAAAAAACTTTAACCTTTATTTTAACATTTACAAGATTTTTTTGCTATATTTATTTTTTTGCTAAAAATATATATGGTCATAAAAAATTGAAAATATATTGTGTTAAGATGCGGATTTGAGTTTGGTATTTATTTTATTGTATAAAAATTGACAAGATTGAAAAAACACGAAACATATTGTCTCATCCAAGTGAAAAATTTGAAACTTCAATTTTAGATTTGCCTCTTTCCGATTGCTAAAATTACGTAATCTACTTCTTAGACCATTAAAAATAATAGGCGCGACTTATTCGTAAATCGTTGAAGCTAAAATTTTTTGCGTATTTGACTTAGATACCAGCAATTTTTGCTAATGGTTGGTACTTAGGTATATTTTTGGTACTTAGGTAACAACAATTTTTGGCAATGGTTGCTTCAAGTTGGAGTAGATAGTTTATAAGAAAAAAAGGGTTAACTCAAAAATAAAATAAATCTCAATTTATATTTAAATATTTTAAATCTTGCTAT